TACTTTCGTAGGGAGTGATTTGTGTGCAGATTTGGGGACCATTCCTTCCAAGATTTTCCAGTTTTAGATTATGATATATCTCTCCTCTGGGGTTCCAAGGGAGTACAAGTCAAGTGTTTCCAGGTTCAGTGTTAAGGTGCTTGACGGGTTTACGTGCAGTAAGGATTCTGTTACATCTCTAGACTGCGATTTCACTGTTTGAAGGGGGAGATGTTATTGTACGCAGTATTCCAGCAGAGGAGAACAAGTGTTTGAAAAGGTCTTTCGATGACGCACGACTTTCTGGGTTACCTGGGTGGCTAACCTCCGGGGTTAAAATCGAACGAATTATCTTATCTATCTTATCTTATATGGGCTTGGTCTCTCGTTTTGAAAGTTCTCATTACCCACCCTATCATTTTCTTTGCACGGCGATCGTGGCATGTTGTGATCTTGAAAGTGAGATCTCAGGACATTACTCCCAGGTGGAGGTGGAGGTAGTGGGTGTTGTGGTGGGTGGTGCGAAGGTGGTGGGTTTTTGTGGTGGGTGGAGGTGAAGGTAGTAGGTGTTTGTGGTGAGTAAAGGTAAAGGTAGTGGGTGTTGTGGGGGGTTTGTAGACGAAGGTGGGGGGTTGTTGTGGTGGGTAGACGAAGGGGTGGGGGTGGTGAAGGTAGTGGGTGTTTTTGGTGGGTGTGGTGAAGGTAGTGGGTGTTGTGGTGGGTGTGTAGACGAAGGTAGTGGGTGTTTGGTGGGTGTTAGACGAAGGTGGTGGGTGTTGTGGTGGGTGGAGGTGAAGGTAGTGGGTGTTGTGGTGGGTGTGGGACGAAGGTGGTGGGTGTTGTGGTGGGTGGTGGTGAAAGGTAGTGGGTGTTGTGGTGGGTGGTGGGGAATGTAGTGGGTGTTTGTGGTGGGTGTAGACGAAGGTGGTGGGTGTTGTGGTGAGTGAAGGTGAAGGTAGTGGGTGTTGTGGTGGGTGTAGCGAGGGGGTGGGTGTTGTGGTGAGTGAAGGTAAAGGGTTTAGTGGGTGTTGTGGTGGGTGTAGACGAAGGTGGTGGGTGTTGTGGTGGGGTGGAGGTGAAGGTGGTGGGTGTTGTGGTGGGTTGGTGGTGAAGGTGTGGGTGTTGTGGGGGGTGGTTGGACAAGGTGGTGGGGTGTTGTGGTGGGTGGTGGTGAAGGTAGTGGGTGTTGTGGTGGGTGGTGGTGAGGTAGTGGGTGTTTTTGGTGGGGGGTAGCGAAGGTGGTGGGTGTTGGGGTGGGTGGAGGTAAAAGGTAGTAGGTGTTGTGGGGGAGTGAAGGTGAAGGTGTGGGTGTTGTGGTGGGTGTAGACGAAGGGGGGTGGGTGTTGTGGTGGGTGGGGTGAGGTAGTGGGTGTTGTGGTGGGTGTAGACGAAGGTGGTGGGTGTTGTGGTGGGTGGTGGTGAAGGTAGTGGGTGTTGTGGTTTGGGTGGTGGTGAAAGGTAGTGGGGTGTTGTGGTGGGTTGTAGACGAAGGTGGTGGGTGTTGTGGTGGGTGGTGGGTGAAGGTTAGTGGGTGTTGTGGTGGGTGGTGGTGGGGTAGGGGTGTTGTGGTGGGTGTGACGAAGGTGTGGGTGTTCTGGTGGGTGAGACGAAGGTGGTGGGTGTTGTGGTGGGTGGAGGTGGAAGGTAGTGGGTGTTGTGGTGGGTGTAGACGAAGGTGGGGGGGTGTTGTGGTGGGTGGGGGTTTAAAGGTAGTGGGTGTTGTGGTGGGTGGTGGTGAAGGTAGTGGGTGTTGTGGTGGGTGTAGACAAAAAGGTGGTGGGTGTTGTGGTGAGTGAAGGTGAAGGTAGTGGGTGTTGTGGTGGGGTGTAGACGAAGGTGGTGGGTGTTGTGGTGGGTGGTGGTGAAGGTAGTGGGTTGTTGTGGTGGGGGGGAGGTGGAAGGTAGTGGGTGTTGTGGTGGGTGTAGACGAAGGTGGTGGGTGTTGGGGGGGTGGTGGTAAAGGGTTTGTGGGTGTTTGGTGGGTGTAGACGAAGGTGGTGGGTGTTGTGGTGGGTTTTAGACAAAGGTGGTGGGTGTTGTGGTGGGTGGAGGTGAAGGTGGTGGGGTGTTGTGGTGGGTTTGTAGACGAAGGTGGTGGGTGTTGTGGTGGGTGGTGGTGAAGGTAGTGGGTGTTGTGGTGGGTGTAGACGAAGGTGGTGGGTGTTGTGGTGGGTGTAGAGAAGGTGGTGGGTGTTTGTGGGGGGTGGAGTTGAGAAGGTTTTTGTGGGTGTTGTGGTGGGGTTGTAGACAAAGGTGGTGGGTGTTGTGGTGGGTGGAGGTGAAGGTGGGGGTTTTGTGGTGGTGTAGACGAAGGTGGGGGGTGTTGTGGTGGGTGGTGGTGAAGGTAGTGGGTGTTGTGGTGGGTGTAGACGAAGGTGAGTGGGTGTTGTGGTGGTTGGGTGCGGGTGGTGATGGTGGGGGGTTTGTTGTGGTGGGGGGTGACGAAGGTGTGGGTGTTGTGGTGGGTGTGTGAAGGTGGTGGGTTGTTGGGTGGGTGGAGGTAAAGGGTTTAGTGGGTGTTGTGGTGGGTGTAGAGAGGTGGGGGTATGTTGTGGTGGGTGGAGGTGAAGGTAGTGGGTGTTGTGGTGGTGGAGGTGAAGGTTAGTGGGTGTTGTGGTGGGGGGAGGAAGGTGGTGGGTGTTGTGGTGGGTGGTGGTGAAGGTAGTGGGTGTTGTGGTGGGTGAGGTGAAGTGGTGGGTGTTCTGGGTGGGTGGTGGTGAAGGTGTGGGGTGTTGTGGTGGGTGGAGGTGAAGGAGTGGTGTTGTGGTGGGTGGGGGTGAAGGTATGGGTGTTGTGGTGGGTGGGAGGGGGAAGGTAGTGGGTGTTGTCGGGGGGAGTGTAAGGGTGGGTGTTGGGGTGGGTGGTGGTGGGTGTGGGGTTGTGGGGTGGGGCATGGGTGTCGTGGAAGTGTAGGGGTGGGGCACGGGGGTGTCGTGGCAGTGTAGGGGTGGGGAAAGGGTTTTGTGGCGGTTGTAGGGGTGGGGACTGGGTGTCGTGGCTTTGTAGGGGTGGGGCACTGGGTGTCGTGGCAGTGTAGGGGTGGGGCACTGGGTTTTTGTGGCGGTGTGGGGTGGGGCCACTGGGTTTGTCGTGGCAGTGTAGGGGTGGGGGCACTGGGTGTCGTGCTGTGGGGTGGGCATGGGTTTTGTGGCAGTGTGGGGTGGGGCACTGGGTGTCGGGGCGGTGTAGGGGTGGGGCACTGGGTGTCGTGGCGGGTAGGGGTGGGGGCACTGGGTTTGTCGTGGCAGTGTAGGGGTGGGGCACTGGGTTTTCGTGGAGTGTAGGGGTGGGGCACTGGGTTTTGTGGCGGTGTAGGGGTGGGGCACTGGGTTGTCGTGGCAGGTTAGGGGTGGGCACTGGGTGTCGTGGCAGTGTAGGGGTGGGGGGCACTGGGTGTCGTGGCGGTTGGGGTATTGGGGGTGGGGCACTGGAGTTGTGGCGGTGTAGGGGTGGGGCACTGGGTGTCGTGGCAGTGTGGGGGTGGGGCATGGGTGTCTTTGGGCAGTTTTTAGGGGTGGGGCACTGGGTTTTGTGGCGGTTGTAGGGGTGGGGCACGGGGTGTCGTGGCTTTGTAGGGGTGGGGGGCATGGGTGTCGTGGCAGTGTAGGGGTGGGGCATGGGTGTCGTGGCGGGTGTAGGGGTGGGGAGTGGGTGTGTGGCCGTGTAGGGGTGGGACTGGGTTGTCGTGGCGGGTTGTAGGGGTGGGGCACGGGGTTTGTCGTGGCAGTGTAGGGGTGGGGCCACTGGGTGTGTGGCAGTGGTAGGGGGTGGGGCACTGGGTGTGTGGCGTTGTAGGGGGGCACTGGGTGTCGTGCGGGGGTGGGCCTGGGGGGGGGCACTGGGTTCTGCGTTTAGGGGGGGCACTGGGTTTGTCGGGCAGTGTTGGGGTGGGCACTGGGTGGTCGTGGCAGTGTAGGGGTGGGGCACTGGGTGTGGGCCCCCCCCTCCTGGGCGTCCGGTGTAGGGGTGGGGCACTGGTGTCGTTGGCAGTTGTGGGGTGGGCATGGGTGTCGTGGCATGTAGGGGGGGGGGACTGGGTTACGTGGCAGTGTAGGGTGGGGCACTGGGTGTGTGGAGTGTAGGGTGGGGGCCATGGTTCGTGGCGTGTGGGGTGGGCCTGGGTGTCGTGGATTTGTGGGGGTGGGGCACTGGGTGTCGTGGCAGTGTAGGGGTGGGGCACTGGGTGTCGTGGCAGTGTTGGGGTGGGGCACTGGGTGTCGTGGCGGTGTAGGGGTGGGGCACTGGGTATCGTGGGGCACACACGGGCTCGTACTGAAAATGAAAATATTAATGTTTATTTCCTTGTAAATCTTAGAATGTGTTGTTTACATGTTATAAAATAATAATTACAATAATGCGACTAGCATACCCAGGCATCTCGGGCAGTATGCAGCTGCAGTTTGGAACCCTCTCCTGGGCAAACACGCCAGGAAACTAGATAAAGTGCAAAGGTTTGCAACAAGACTAGTCCCGGAGCTAAGGGGTATATCCTACGAGGAGAGGTTAAGAGAACTCCACCTGACGACACTGGAGGATAGGGGGGACAAGGAGGACATAATAACGACATGTAAAATACTGAGAGGAATTGACAAAGTGGACAGAGGCAGGATGTTCCAGAGATGGAACCCAGCAACAAAGGGTTACTCTTGGAAATTGAAGACTCAGATGCGTCACAGGGATGTTAAGAAGTATTTCTTCGGCCATAGAGTTGTTAGGAAGTGGAATAGTCTTAAAAGTGAGGTAGTCGAGGCAGGTACCATACATAGCTTTAAGAAGAGGTATGATAAAGCTCATAGAGCAGGGAGTGAGTGATCCAGTGGCGACCAGTGAAGAGGCGGGACCAGGAGCTATGAAGCGGCGACCCCTGCAACCACAATGAATACACACACACACACACACACACATATAATATATATATATATATATATATATATATATATTATATATATATATATATATATATATATACATAAAAAAAGGAGGGCCACGTGTCTATCGACAAGTGCCTTTGAAATTAGTAAGTACTGGGTAGTGAGCTGGGATGAGGGCAGTGAGAGAGGCGCCTCACACTGCCCACAATCATCGTCCAGTACGCGCGTATATCTCCACGCTCCTCCACGCCTCACACCTCCACGCCTCACCATGGTAAGTTGACTTGCCTCACTCAACAATAATTGGCACTCTTATCTTTGATGCTAATTTCGAATGGCAGATAATTATTACAGTTAGAAATGAAATTGTAATCATATTAAATCAGTTTAGAGGTTAAAATTATTTGACGCTGGATGTGAAATCAAATACATATATTTTTGGTTGACAGTTCGGTCATACACTTAAGTTCATGTATTATACAGCTACGTGCAGGATTAGCAGCAAGTTTCGCCCATATTTATTCTAGCAAGACATCTGTTGTTAGGGTAGCTCGTGGCCTGGTAGCAAAAGCTCTCGCTTCACACGGGGAGAGTCCGAGTTCAGTTCCCGGCGAGGGTTAAAACATTGGGCGTGTTTCCTTACACTGGTTGTCAATGTTCACCCATCAGTAAAATAGGTACCTGAGTGTTAGTCGACTGGTGTAGGTCGCATCCCGGAACAAAATTAACCTAATTTTCCCAAAATGCTCTGCATAACAAGTCTTTCTATATAGCAGTGTGTCATTGATGTCAACTAGGACTGTATACCTTGTACATGTAGAAATAAAGATATTATTATTAGTTTTCCTATTGCGTAGAGTTGGGTGTGAGGCAGACCTGTCTGGAGTTTACCTGGAGAGAGTTCCGGGGGTCAACGCTAACATAGGCCACTGGATATTTTACTAGACCGCTGTCCTGTCCATCAGTGGTGTGAAAGCTTGTCGATAGACGGGAAGAGAGAGGTAAGAAAGGGTGACCTGACCACTATGGGTGGATTTTAAAGGAGTGGTTTTTATCACTTGGACATGGTTTTTTAATTGGAGGTCCTTTATTCTTATGGTGTTGTGTATGACCCTTGTGTTTTTAGCGCTTAGTTTTGATAATAATAATATAGCAAGGAATGCTACTATGTATGTACACACTGTTGGTATTGGTTTAAACTAACACATTTATAGTTTACAAAAATATGCACATGGTATAAAAAACTAGGACAAGCCTGAAGTAACAAATAGCTGTTAATCTGAAGAGCACTGGACACTGCTACTATGTTGTGAAATGATGTATTAGGTCATTTATTACAAACATAAGAACGACACCACTCGTGTACTGGTCCAAAGTATTTGTACACTTACCCAAAGTCTTCACTTTAAAGAGGCTTCCTGAGAGTTTGCTCAACTCATCTACAATTCTCTTATCAATCGTACTTCAGTACTTGTAAATCTAAAGTTACATAACTTTAAACAAAGGTTAGACAGGTATACGAATGGCAGAGGTCCTTCATTCTTGTGTTTCTATATCAAAACGTATAAATAATAGAAATCCTCGGGTTAGACGTCATTTAGATTACGCTGCACAGTTCTAGTCCCCATAAGTGTGCTGGAACATAAGTGTGCTGGAACATAAGTGTGCTGGAACATAAGTGTGCTGGAACATAAGTGTGCTGGAACATAAGTGTGCTGGAACATAAGTGTGCTGGAACACAAATGTGCTGGAACATAAGTGTGCTGGAACACAAGTGTGCTGGAACACAAGTGTGCTGGAACACAAGTGTGCTGGAACATAAGTGTGCTGGAACACAAGTGTGCTGGAACACAAATGTGCTGGAACACAAGTGTGCTGGAACACAAATGCGCTGGAACACAAGGGTGCTGGAAAATAAGTTGTGCGCGAACGAAGTGTGATGGATGTCACAGTGTGTGCTGGAACATAATATGTGACGCGAACATACAGTGTGCTGGAAACACAAGTGGTGCTTTCGGGAACACAACGTGTGCTGGAACACAAATGTGCTGGTTAACTCAAGTGTGCTGGAACACAAGTGTGCTGGAACATAGTGTGCTGGAACACAAGTGTGTTGGAACACAAGTGTGCTGGAAACCAATGTCCTGGAAACACAAAGTGTGCTGGAAACATAAGGGTGCTGGAAATATAAGTGTGCTGGAACACAAGTGTCCTGGAACACAAATGTTGCTCGAACATAAGTGTGCTGTAACTATTAAGTGTGCTGGAACACAAGTGTGCTGGACATATAATATGCTCGAACATTAAGTGTGCTGGAACACATGTTGTGCTGGAACAAGTTGCTGGAAACATGTTTGCTGGAACACAAGTGTGCTGGGAAACACAAGTGTGCTTGATAACAACAATGTGTGGAACATAAGTGTTGGTGGAAACACAAGTTGCGGAACACAAATGGCTGGAACACAAGTGTGCTGGAACACAAAGTGTGTCTGGAACATAAGTGTGCTGGGGAACACAACGTGTGCTGGAACACAGTGTGCTGGAACACAAATGTTGCTGGAACACATCGTGTGCTGGAACATAGGGTGCTGGAACATAAGTGTGCTGGAAAACAACATGTGTGCTGGAACACAATGTGCTGGAACAACAAGGGTGCTGGAACATAACGTGTGCTGTAAACATAAGTGTGCTGGAACACAAGGTGTGCTGGAACATAAATGTGCTCGAACAGAAGTGTGCTGGAACACAAGAGTCATGCTGGAAATCACAAAGTGTGCTGCGCGATGTGAGAGACATAAGTGTGCTGGAAAAAATGTGTGCTGGAACACAAGTGTGTGGAACAATTGTGTGTGCTGGAACACAAGTGTGTGGAATTACATAAATGTGCTGAAACATAAGTGTGTGGAACACAATGTTGTGCTGGACACAAGTGTGCTGGAACACAAGTGTGCTTGGAACACAAGTGTGATGGAACACAAGTGTGCTGGAGCAAAGTGTGCTGGAAGACAAATGTGTGCTGGAGCACAAAGTGGCTGGAACACAAGTGTGTGGGACACACAGTGTGCTGGAACACAAGTGTGCTGGAAACATAAGTGTGCTGGGGCATAAGTGTGGCTGAACATAAGTGTGCATGGAACCATAAGTGGTGCTGCAACATAAGTGTGCTGGAACACAAGTGTGCTTGGAACATAAGTGTGCTGGAACAACAAGGTTGTCTGGATTCGCATAAGTGTGCTGGAACCATAAGTGTGTGGAACTGTAAGTGTGCTGTGGAACTAGTGTCTGGGAACACTAAGTTGTCTGGAACATAAGGGTCCTGGAACTATAAGTGTGCTGGAACACAAGTGTTGCTGGACATAAGTGTGCTGGACATAAGTGTGCTGGACATAAGTGTGCTGGACATAAGTGTGGCTGGAACATAGTGTGCTGGAACGCACAAGTGTGCTGGACCTAGGAGCATAAGTATGCTGGACATGTAGTGAGCTGGAACATAAGCTGTGCTGGACATAAGGTGATGCTGGAACTATAAGTGTGTGGTGAACACAAGTGTGCTGGATCACAAGTGTGCTGGGACATAAGTGTGCTGGACTTAAGTGTGCTGGAACATAATGTGTGTCTGGGACATAAGTGTACTGGAACATAAGTGTTGCTGGAACATAACGTGTGCGGGGTAGACATAAGTGTGCTGGATACATAAGTGTGCTGGAATAGGTGCTGGAAGTAATGTTGTGCATGGAACATAAAGTGTGCTGGAAGATAAGTGTGCTGGAACATAAGTGTGCTGGAAGATAAGTGTGCTGGAACATAAGTGTGCTGGAACATAAGTGTGCTGGACATAAGTGTGCTGGAACATAAGTGTGCTGGACATAAGTGTGCTGGAACACAAGTGTGCTGGACATAAGTGTGCTGGACATAAGTGTGCTGGAACATAAGTGTGCTGGACATAAGTGTGCTGGAACATAAGTGTGCTGGAAGATAAGTGTGCTGGAACATAAGTGTGCTGGAACATAAGTGTGCTGGACATAAGTGTGCTGGAAGATAAGTGTGCTGGAACACATAAGGTGATGGAAGATATGGTGTGGAACATAGTGTGCTGGGAAACATTAAGTGTGCTGGACATATAAGTGTGCTGGACATGATAAAGTGTGCTGGAACATAAGGTGCGGAACAGAAGTGTTGCTGGATCCATAAAGGTGTGCTGGAACAAAGGTGTGCTGGAACATAAGTGTGCTGGACATAAGTGTGCTGGAAGATAAGTGTGCTGGAACATAAGTGTGCTGGAACATAAGTGTGCTGGAACATAAGTGTGCTGGAATAAGGTGTGCTGGAAGATAAGGATCAAGTGTGCTGGAACATAAGGTGTGATGGAACATAAGTTGTGATGGACATAAGTGTGCTGGAAGATAAGTGTGGCTGGAACAATAAGTGTGCTGGAAGATAAGTGTGGCTGGACATAAGTGTGCTGGATCATAAGGTGTGCTGGAACATAAGTGTGCTGGAAGGATAAGCGTGCTGGAACGTAAGTGTGCTGGAAGTAGTGTGCTGGACATATAGTGTGTGCTGGAAGTAGTGAGCTGGAACATAAGATGTGCTGGAGATAGTGGCTGGAACATAAGGTGTGATGGAAACATAAGTGTGTGGACATAAGTGTGCTGGAACATAAGTGTGCTGGAAGATAAAGTTGTGCTGAACATAAGTGTGCTGGAACATAAAGTGTGCTGGACATAAGCTGTGCTGGAACATAAGTGTGCTGGAACATAAGTGTGCTGGAAGAGAAGATTAAGTGTGCTGGAACATAAGAGTGCTGGAAAGATAAGTGTGCTGGAAACATAAGTTGTGATGGAACTATAAGTGTGCTTGGACAAAACGTGTGCTGGAACATAAGTGTGCTGTGAACATAGAAGGTGCTGGACATGAAGTGTGCGATTGGAACATTAAGTGTGCTGGACATAAGTTGTGCTGTGAACATAAGTGTGCTGGAAGATAAGTGTGTGGAAACATAAGATGTGCTGGAACATAAGTGTGCTGGAACATAAGTGTGCTGGAACTTAAGTGTGCTTGCTTGGGACATAAGTGTACTGGAACTTAAGTGTGCTGGAACATAAGTTTGCTGGAACATAAGTGTGCTGGAACATAAGTGTGCTGGACATAAGTGTGCTGGAAGATAAGTGTGCTGGAACATAAGTGTGCTGGAAGATAAGTGTGCTGGAACATAAGTGTGCTGGAAGATAAGTGTGCTGGAACATAAGTGTGCTGGAAGATAAGTGTGACTGG